ATCTAGAATATTACAATTGTTTAACTTGGAAGTTAGTTACTAAATTAAAGCTTATTTAGTACTTGTGGCTTAGGATGGTAATGTGGCTCAATTGTTGTAAAATATTCTTGCTTTGGGTATAAATTGCATATTGCAGACATGACATATCATATGCTATATAGACTTGAATTTTAGGACATGGTTTCTATGGATTTAACCTTACTTCTGTATGGAATGTGGTAAGATGCATTTGATTTTGTATAACTTTTGAACTTATTGATTTTGGAAAGTTTGTGAGGACATAATTTATGTGATGGTTAGGGTTTGGCTCTAGTACATGGACAAGTGTCCTTTAAGTCATAAGTGCGCACTAGGTGGTACCTTGTAGGTCGTAATTACCCAAAAATACTTGCTTGGTCTAGCGACCGCATGTCCTAGTCTTTCCACTATTTGTTTTCGCATTTAATTTCAAGTTGTTAATCATGGATTACTTGTAGCTTGAGAATTGATGTTTACTTTGGGTATTTGAATCCTATTTAGTATATTTGAACTTGTATACTTACTCCGTGAGTTTAGATTGCATTTAGTATACTTGTGCCATGTATACTTATCTTGTGCGTACTTGTTTAACTTAGTATACTTGTGTTTGTATACTTAATTTATAAGTACTATATATATATATATATATATATATATATATATATATATATATATATATATATATATCTTGTACTTGTGTATGTATGTTGGATATTGTTTATCTCGTTTAACGTAATTTAGTGTACTTGTGAGCATGTGTACTTGAATGTCGTGTATCATGTTTTAATACGGTTTAGTGTACTTGAGCATTTATAATTGCATGCCGTAGTTCATTTCAATTGCATATGTAGATTAGGATGATCCCTGAGTCTCACCTTGACATAGAGGTTAGGTGGCATGATCCTTTTGAACTGTTTCATGTTAGTCTGAAAAAATCTGTAAGAAAGCGAGTCTATGCATGCTCATTCTCTACGAGTAAACTTGTTTACTCACCCCGAAGTTACTGAATGATTTGTTCAGGTACGAAGACTTGGTTCGTGATGTTCATCATTGCTTGGATGATTGTAGACTTGAAGGTTTTAATTCTTATAAAGGTTGGCTTGAAATGCCACTTGTAGTCTTTTAGGTCAAAATGTGTATATTTCATTTCATTTATGTAATGTGTACATAGTACACTCTATGCAATGTATCTGACTTGAATGGAATGAGGCCTAGGGCCAAAGACACATTATGTGGTATGTATGCAAATTTTTAACTTCATTGTTGCTTATGGAAGTTAGGAGATTTCATGTATTGAAAGGTCATATTTTACATACAATATGCCATGAGGCCGTAGGCCATTGTAGTACGTCTACTTTATCATATTACATATGCTTGCATGTTCACTTTGGCACACAATACCCTTCTTGATGAAACAAAAACTTAAGGTTGCATTTTTTTGAGTTTTTACTCTATACTGTTCCAGGGGCATTTCGGGTACTTCATAAATTTTTTTTTTTTTTCATTTTCGACCTCATAGTCAGGTAGAAAACTCAATTTCGGAGGAGGTTTCTTCTTTGTGTTTTTCCACAAAACGTCATCTTGACCCTCAAAAACCCATTTTTTTTCTAAAAAATTATTGCTGCCAGGTTTTTGCTGAATTTTAATACTAGTGTACTTTGTACTATTCATCGACTTTTTTTTGAAAAGCGTGACGACCGATCCGAAACTTCCGAGGATCTTGTGGGTGTATTTTAAGATTGTATTTTCAATTTAGGCAATTTAAAAACCTCCCGAAGCCCCATTTCATTTTCTTGGGCAGCAACTAGGACTGATTTTTACCCTCTTGACCTGATTTTGTTGGGGGCATTCTGGCCATTTTATAATGCATTTTTTTTGTTTCCATCCATGCTTCTAGGTAGAAAACTTGATTTTAGGTGGGGTTTCTTTTTTGAGTTTTTTGAAAAAAGTCCATTTAGATGCCCGTTTTTACTCTCAGATGCAGCAGTAGTGGGTGGGCAGCACTGTAGCAGTCGTGACCCTCGTTGGGCCGCTGCGACATTGTTTTTGCTTTTGACCTTTCTCCCACGTTCGGACTCCAAATCGAGTAAAAAAAATTTTGAAATTGACTAATTTTTCGTCGTCTATTCAACGATGTGCTCGGTTATGCATGGATATTTCTGAATAATTACCAATTTACCCTTTTTGCTTTATATGTCTGTTTTTCTTTGTTTTGCCGTTTCTCCTTCATCCGGACTCCGAATCATGCGATTCTTGAGTCAGTCATGATTAGTTTTTCATTTTATTTCTAGCAGTGTACTCGGTAGCACCCAAATCTATATTTTTGCAAAATAACTATTTTGCCCCTGGGGACTTATTTGTCATATTTTTGATCTTTTGCTTCCATGTCAGTTCTCATTAAGTTTCACGACCTTATGGAAGGTCATCAAAGTGCCTTAGAGGCGTGTAGTGCCTTGGGAGACCGTTGTATTATTTTTTGCTTCCGCATCTGGATCCGTTATCGGGTCAATCTTCGGTTCATCACAAGACGCACTGGCTTGGAAAACCAGGGCCGTCACAGGAAGCGAAACGAAAACAAGTCCATAGAGATGTACGTTATCCCTAAGGCACAAGAATGGCCTTTTGAGGATTTTTGAGGCCCGGCGGAAACAAAACGAAGACAAAGGTATTAAAACCAAAATAAGGACCAAGGGTAAAATGGTCATTTCACCCTAAGAGGAAGGAATTTGACTTCTAACAAGTCAAATGAGATCAAAATAATCCAAAAACATCCTTTGGTAACTTCATATGGAGTCCCAAGGACAAAGGAAGTGAAATCCCAAATGAACCTTATCCCGATTCGAACCAAAACTGACACTCTTTCACTAAAACAAGTATATCTTGAGCTAGGAGAATAATCTGAAACTAAAATTGATACATTGAAAGCTTACTTCAACATGGTCAATTTAGACTCAAGAATGGACCAATTCAAAGTTAAAACGAAGAAGTTACAATAGATCGAAGTTGGAGGGCCAAAGCTGAACCTACAAAGAGGTTCTGGATAACTTGAACCGGTTTAACATTCTTGAACCGGTTCACAATTGGCAGAAAGCCATGTTAAACCAAAAATGATACCTTGAATCGGTTTAACAATTCCTGAACCAGTTCGACTACACTAAAAACAGAAAATGCAGTAGAAACAGTAGAAAAAATAGAAAAAGTGAGCTTAGAACACGATTTACGACACCAAGACAACATTTTTTGAAAAAATTTCATGAAGAAACTCCCCCTGAAATCACATCTTCAATGTGACGGAGTCAAGACCGGAAATTATTTCCCAATGGAAATCTCCAAAACGCCTTTAAGCTGATTTTTCAACAAAAATGTGAAATGAGTCCATAGGTGGCTTATTTCACCAACGAAAGAGTTTTTCATGAAAACGATCATGCACGCAAATGTAAATAGAGATTTTGAGCGTGCGGGAATGGTCCATGGCTCCCGAAAATGGCTGAGTCAAAATCCGACCCCCCAATAGCCAAAAAAGCGAAAATGTACATGAAATGAAAATTTTGAAATCTAAAATTATGAAATGGTTTCAAATTACCATTTAGCCCTTGGCCACACTTCATACATGATTAATGAGACCCTATGAAAGAATGAAAATAGAATTCCCACACCCGATGTAACCATGGCGAAACAATAACTTAACATTTTTTAATATTTTCATAATATTTCATGAAATTGAAAGTTACATAGGATACAAAATACATGTCATTGGCCTCCGGCCTCATTTCATACATGTCAAATACATTGTAAAGAGTATACTCATATGCACATTATATATTTAGAATCAAATATACACATTTTGACAAATAAGGCTACAAGTGGCATTTCAAGCCAACCTTTACAAGAATTTAAAACTTTCAAGTCTACAATCATCCAAGCTTAATGAGAATCTCGAACCAAGTCTTCATACTTGAAAAATGCCCCGGTAACTTTGGGGTAAGTAACATAAAGTCACTCGTAGGAGATGAGCATGTATAGACCAAACATTTTACAATATTATCACCTTAAGGTGAAACAATTCAAGAGGGCTCATACCACATAACGTCTATGTCAAAGTGAGACTCAGGGATCATCCTAAGCTACTCATGCAATTGAAATGAACTACGGCATACAAGTATACATATTCAAGTACACTAAACCGTATTAAAATATGATACACGACATACAATCATACATGTTCAAGTACCTTAAATCATGTTAAACAAGATAAGCAATATCTAACATACATACACAAGTATTCGATATATGTAAAGTACTCATAAATTAAGTATACAAACACAAGTATACTAAGCTAAACGAAATACACATAAGGCAAGTATACAAGGCACAAGTATACTAAATGAAATTTAAACTCACGGAGCAAGTATACAAGTTCAAGTATACTAAATAGGATTCAAATACCCAAGGTAAGCATCAATTCTCAAGTTACAAGTAATCCGTGATTAACAACTTGAAATTAAATGCAAAAACAAATAGTGGAAAGACTGAGACATGCGGTCGCTAGACCAAGCAAGTATTTTTGGGTAATTACGACCCACAAGGTATCACCTACTGTGCACTTATGACTTAGAAGACTCTTATCCCCATACTAGAGTCAAAGCCTAGCCATCACATAAATTATGTCCTCACAAGCTTTTCAAAACCAATAAGTTCAAAACTTATACAAAATCAAATGCAAATTACCACATTCCATGCACAAGTAAAGCTGAATCCACTCAAACAATGTCCTATCACTACAATAGTTTTGGCTTTTACCAGCGCTCAAAAGCGCTGGTAAAAGTCTTAAAAAGCACTGGTAATTACCAGCGCTTTTAAAAAAGCGTTGGTAAATCGTGTCGGTAGGCCTTTACCAGCGCTTTTCCGGAAGCGCTGGTAAAGTCCTTTTACCAGCGTTTTTCCAGAAAGCGCTGGCATAGAGTATTTGGCTACTAATACAATTAACCGCAAGTTAAGCTGATAAATGTCAACCAAAAAGCAAAAATGTATACTAATACAACCACAAGTTAACCTACCAATATACCATCCAAATTGTCTAAACAAAGCTACTAAATGTCAGACAAAAAGAACTAAGAATTTTTGACAAATGTAGCACAAGTTTTTCAAAAAGAACACATCCAAGCCGAAGGAAATTCAGAAAGCACAGCCACGACCCCATCTTCATCTTCAACAAGTTCTTGCCCATTTGATTTGAATTACCCTACATTTTTTATAAATTCATTACGCACACATTATAATAAATGAAAATTTAACATATATATAAGAGAAATTAAAAGTTCATAACCTTAACTAAATTGGCATCACGACTAGAAAATGAATTTGGAGATACTCTAAGAGGAGCATTTAAAGAATCAGAACCCTTCAAAATAAGAAAACAAAATACATGAAATCTTGGCTTAAGTAAACATATATTTAGTAAAGAGTAAAACTAATTATAAATATACCTGTCCACTATAATTTTGTTGTTGTATCTGCATTAGCATAGCCACCTGTTGTTGTAAATTTTCCAACTTGTTATCATAGTTGGCTCGTAAATTTTCCAACTTCTTGTCATACTCGCTTGCATTTTTGAAATGCTCTCCTGCAACTCTACGTGGGCAGCACGTGCCTCTTCATCAGATTTTTTCGCATTATTAATCAGTTCAGCTTTACTAGGAGAGGGCCCCCAAACATCGCTTGGTGTAGGCCCGAAGCCAAGCATCCGCACACAACCAGTTCTCTCTTCTCCCCTCACAATGGAGAACAAATCATTGGAACTGCCAATAGGCGAGTCAGAATAACTTTTTTGAAGTTCTTTTATGTTTTCCTGCCAAAAAAAATAAAAAAAAAGTTTGAACTACCATGACATACTGCTATGAAACATCTAGACAAATCTAATGAAATGAATGATAGAACAGGAATCCAGAAATAGCTTAACAGAAAAGTAATTAGATAACAAATTGGTAATGATGAAAGCCAAAGTGTTCTGAAACAGCAGTGCATCACACAATGTGAAAATATAGTTGTACATACCTTTGAACTTTCATACAATCTAAAGCTTCAAAATATTCACACCCACTTCATTTACCGACAAAATGCTAGAAATTAAAGGAATGCTAAAAATTGTGCGCAATATACTAACATTTCAGAACCTAAATAATAGTACTTAGCTTCAACCTGAAGTCTGAGGCCCATTTATTTATTTGTGTGTGTGTGTGTGTGTCTGAGGACCATTTTACTTACAAATTCGGGATACTTGTTAATTGGTAATACGAGTACTTGGCAAAGATGATGCACAGGAAGTGATTTCCAAAGCTCCATTCACTACAAACCTACTACTACATTCATGTAACTTGCTTTTCTAACAATTCTAATAAAAGAGTAGGATACAAAATGCAACAAACAAAATTTTAAAACAAATAGTAATTAGTTGTAAGAAATAACAAAATAACTGGTATTAAACAAACTTGAACCCAAGAATCAAAAGCCCCCTCCCAAACAACTTCCACCCTCGTCAAAGTCTCGTAGTAGGGAAAATATATAAACTTGACCAAGCTTACAACAGATTTAGTGGTCAACAAACCAAAACAAGATTAAACTATTGAAAGGGCAAGGGCGCTGTACTTTGTCTTAGTCTTCATGTTGGCTCAAATTAATGACAAATGAAGCCAATAGAACCGCTCCATAAAGAGGCAGTTTGGTATAGAATAGCATATAAAAATATATGTCAAATAAAGGATTAACATTTTACAAATATGGCTGCAAATCCTTACTGGTCTTGAAGGAACAAAATATATAACAGAAAAATGGAGTATCAATACTAATGTAAATACCTGAACAGTAGGTATCACCAACACAAGCACCCAAAAAAAAAATTAACACACTTTCCATAAACCTCAGCTACAGTTAAGAATAACATAACTCAAATACAAACAGCATACAACGTTCCCAGTTACAATCATAATTAATCAGAACCACAATCATTTGAAAGAGAAACCAAAGAGAGTATCAAAAAAATGGGAAGAGAGTTGTAAAAAATACTGAAGTTATTGCCAATTAGTATAGATGGAAATATACCCTCTAACCTGGATCAGAGGCAATTGAACATGACATAATAAACTGCAATTCCTGGCCGTAAACACCACCATAAGATCCACAACAATGATGTGGCAATGACCAACCACCACTGATGGAGAAGAAGCACCACAAAGGCCCATTAGCAAACGTTGAGCCTCTCCACCTATAGCAGCGACCAACCACCATTGACAGAGAAGCACCACCACAAAGGCCTATTAGCAAACATGTGTCTCTCAACCATTCGTAAAATATGTTACAATCTTCATTTTCAAACCAATACAAGAAATTCCTTCCCTCAAAGCCACCACCCAATAACCTCCCCCTTATAATACAATATCACAACACAGTAGCATCCCCAACACACAGTGCAATTCTTAACCGTGTAAGACTTCATTATAATACAAAATAAGACTTTGTGTAGAAACAGTTTTTAATGATGCAAGTTCGCCAATATTTAAAAAGGGAAACAGTTAAAAGCTATTTTTGACCGACAACTTGTAGGAAGAATTTGAGACAAAACAAATTTAGCAATAGATTTTTGTAATGATCATTTAAAACAAATTTTGAAACACATTTTTTGGCCAAAAAAATTTGCAATAGACACCAACAATTAATGATGCAATCCATGACACAAATTCCCAAATATTTGAAGAGGCTCTGTTGATTCTCTCCTATGATCCTATAATGTGTAGAAAATTTATTTGGCAACTTTAGCCTTACACCAAGGCACTATTTAATGTACAGACAATCTTATTAAAAACTTTAGGCTTATCCCAAGGCATTTGGTCATTGGAAGGTCGAGGGTTCAGGCCATTGTGGGAATTATAAACAAATTTATAAAAAAATAAATAAAATGAAAGACAAATGATGCTTACAATGGACGAGTCAAATTAGCTTGTATTTGACAGCTTTAAATGCTCATTTGGTTTCAATTTGTATAAAGTTTTTCTTCAAAAAAACAAAAACCTTAATTATACTTGCAAATACAAACCAAATTAGTTACTAGAGGTATATTTAAACTGAAAGACATTATATCGAGAGGTATATTTAAACTGAAAGACATTATATCGAGACATAAATTTTAGCTCTTTCCAACCAATACGTGACAAAATTTGAAAAGAGAGAACTATGTAGTGTATATAAAGAATCAACGAAAATTTTTGATAAAAGAAAACTATTATCTGTACCTCTTGAACTGAAAACCATGAAATTGATACCATCCTCGCGTTTGCTGGCTTGAAATGAAGAGTCGTGTGTCTCGGGTTTGAGGAAGATTTAACATCGCAAAGAGCTGATTTGTGGTAGAGAAAAAAATGAACAAAAAGGACACGAGACACACCAGGGAGAGCCGGCCAAAAAAGCCCATGCCATCTCCCGAACACGAAAAGGCGAAATTTTATTATGTTTTTTTGTTGAACTGCCATGCAAGCGCACCTGACATGGCAAAGGTCTGTGACAACTAGTAGAACATTCACATTTCACAGAACAATCTCTCTCTCAACACTATACATAAATATATGAAAGAAAACAAATAAACAGTGCACCAGAACTATATATATATATATATATGTATGTATAGCAGTAAAACAATCCAACAAACCCTTGCAAAACCATGGTCGCCTGAAATTCTTCAACGACTAAACGATTGGTCACCGCCGGCACCAAACAGATCTATCGGAGTACGAACAGATCTGAAACAAATACATATCAAGTCAACGCTTATGATTCATACAGACCTCTGAATTCGAATGATTTCGCATCCAATACCTCGGCAAAGCACAGATATTCTCATCCAAGGACAGAGATTTAGTAGATCCGTACGAGATTTCAATGCCTTCAAGAAAAATTACAGAAAGTAATGAGTTTAAAGCCAAAAAAATGCTCAAACGATATTGTTTTAGTCAAACAAAAACAAATCTATCACGTACCTTAATTCATCCATGTGGAAGGGCGCGACCGGTGATGGAAAGGCGCGACCGGTGATAAGAGAGTTGTGATGGAAGGCGAGAGAACAGCGTGATGAGAGAGCTGTGATGGAAGGCGCGACCGGTGATGGAAGGGTGAGACCGTGGCGAGAGAACGGCTGAAAGGAACGGCTGATGGATTAGGGCTATTGCCAAATGAAATGGGAAAGTGGAGAATACAATGTCAATTCCTCACAAAACAACGTAGTTTTAGGGCCCAAATATTCTATATATATATTAATAGAGGAAAAAAATGGAGGGAAGTGGAAAAATGAGGACACTTATACCAGCGCTCCTACAAAAAGTCTTGGTATTATTACACCTATACCAGCGCTTCACCCCTACACCAGTTCTTTACCTAATATGTTGTAGTATATAATTCAAGTCTAAATAGCATATAATATGTCAATTCTCTAATATACAATTTATACACAATAATTAAGTCACATTACCATACTAAACCACAAGTACTAAATAAGTTTCAATTTAGTAATAAACTTTCAAGGTAAACAATTGTAATATTCTAATAAGTTATATACCCACACAAGATATATTATACAAGTCAATGATATCTTATATCATGCTAAGTCTATTTACCATTTTAAGAGGTCACAAACACTAATTCCACATCTAGTTAGTAATATCCTCACAAGGTAATTAAACATACTACATTTTAAGAAATTATCAACCTAACATGAAAAGTCTCTAGATTTCAAATCAATTCCAAATAAACTCAAATTAATATATGTTAAACAATATAACATAATCATTACATATATCAAATCAAAAGTGCAAAATGAGTAAGATATCATCATGTAAAATTTAATTAATTTAAATTAATTATATCTCTAGATTTCAAAAGTTAATCAAATGATCGCAAATAAATATATGACAAGGACTAAGTCATGGTCATGCCACATATCAAGTCTAAAATGGAATACAAGTAAGGTACAATTAAGTAGAATTTAAATCAATTTAAATTCATTAAATCTCTAGATTTGAAAACTCATTTAAATCACCCTAAATTAATATACAACAAAGATCAAATCATGGCCACGCCATATATCAAGTCTAAAGTGAGTTATATGCAAACTACAAATAATCAATAATTTCCCAAATTAACATAAAACATGCATACAACTTGTATTTCATTACAAAAGCAAGAAAAACCACTTAGAAAATAAACTATAACACCCCCTACCACACAAGAGGATTGTTCCTCTTGAATCCAAGGCAAATCAACACAAAATGGCACCGTTCAAGTGTTACGTAGAGGAGGATGAGGAGAACAAAAAATATTCCAAACTTTATGGTCTAAGGTAAGTGGAAGGCCCTCAAAAATCAAAGACAAGGCCTAAGCATCAAGCTTCTCTAATGGTGGCTAGGGTTTATGGTGAGGAAGATAATGAAACAATGAGATAAAGTGTGATTGGAGGAAATAGAAATCCTCCACTCACTATGTGATCCTACATCATGATCAACACACACAAGTTTTGGTCAATTGCACAAAAACCCTTTTTTAAAACCATAATCCCAAAATGGCCCAAAAATAATTGCAAGACTTAATTTGAAGCATACACTTGTCACTCATCCAAGAATTTATTGTAAGCTTAATCTTAAGCCTACACTTGTCAACCATCCAAGCCAACAAGTGCACCTATCCTATGTCAACAAGTGGTTGAATCTCCACTCTCCACATGTCATCATCCAAGGTATCAAAGTGTCTCCACACAAATGTCAACAAGTGGACCAATGAGAGTGTGACACTTGTCACACTTTTCAAAAATTACAAAAAGGTCCTTTTTGAAAATATCTTCTAAATAAAATTACAAAATGGTCCCTAAGACGAAAAATAATTACTTATAGTAACTACACAAATGACCCCAAAAGAAAGAAAAATTCCAAAGAAGTGTACATTCACACCCCTAAGGAAGAAAGTATACAACTAGCATGTTTTTTTATAAAAGTAAAAATAAACATAGTATGGAATTTAAATATCGTGGATGCATGCAAAACCGGAATCAAATCCGAATACGAAAGTGAGGTTATGCCAACAAAGTGACAACCGAGAAAAAGACGAAAAGTGAATAGTGTCAAAAAATGAAAATGAGGAAATGACTCGATCCTCACAAGGAAGTAATCAATCCAAAGGAAAAAGTCTCGAAAACCATTCCTGAGTACTCGAGATGACGCTAAGAGACGAAAAATCAAACTCAAAAAAGAAAAAACAACGGAAAAAAAAAAAAAAAATCCGTAAAATTTGAGGAAAAATGAAAGGAAGGAAAATAACCGGGTCATTACACGTACCATACTTTAATGTGCCGCGATGCACCAGATCAATCCACTTATATCAAACTCTTTTAACAGCCTAGATCAGCGTGCGTACCATCATTCCATGCACCATCTCACGCTGGATTACAACCCTATTGTTGCGCCAATGGTACAGACGCTCTGGTGTGTATATATAATTATACAATTATGCAACAAAATATTGAAAAAAAAAACTAAAATAATTCCGAAATATATTAAATAAATCCGGAAAAATTTTACAAAATTTTAGAAAAATTCCTGAAATTCCAAAAACCCATGTTAACCCTCTTGGGTCCAGATCCAGCCTATAAGTTGATGTAAACAAAATATACAACACATAGATTCAACAATAAAAATCTAAAATTCCAAAAATAAAATATAATAATTCATATTTTAAATATTCCGTTCTAACCATTATTTAATCAATAAATTTAACCTAAACTTTTGATGCTCAAGGTGAAATTCTTATGAGTTCTAAGAGGAAAAATAGAGAAGAACTCACCTGAAGGTTTCAAAACGAAACCAACACTTCAAAATTTGATTGTCTCTTCCAATCCCAACGTCCTCCTTCTCAGATCCGGTCTCCTCCGTGTCAGCCTTTCTTCTTCCTCTCTCTTTGCCTCTCTTATTTTTGTAACGTGTAAAACTTTAACCATAAAACCTTATGTGTATATTTATACACATTAGAATCCAAATCCTATTCCAACTATAATTACCAAATAAAATAATAAAATAATAATCATTTTAAATAATATATATGTAATGACCCGGTCATTTTCTTCCTTTTATTTTTTCCTCAAATTTTGCGGATAAATTTTTTCCGTTGTCTTTTCTTTTCTGTGGATGGTTTTTCGTCACTTAGTATCGCCTTGAGTGCTCAGAAATGGTTTTTGATACTCTTTTCCGTAGATTGACAACTTCCTTTGAGGACCGAGTCATTTCCACAATTTCGTTTTTCGACCCTATTTACCTTTTTGTCCTTATTCCTATTTCGTCCCTTTCCCTATTTCGTCTTTTCCCCGTTTGTCACTTTATTGGCAAAACCTCACTTCTTGTGCTCAGAGTTGGTTTTTAACTTCACGTATCTTCGTCTTGAGTGGTTCCCACGAAGTACGTATCTTTACTTTTTCAGAAAAGTACTCTGATTGCTCCCGGTGTCCATAGGGGTATGGATGCATAAATCTTTGGAATTAATTTATTTTCTTAGGGTGTTTTTCGTAAATATCTTTTGAAGATATTTTATTTCAAGGGTATCTAAGAAAATATTTTTTTAGAAGATATTTTCATTTTGGGGCAGTTTCGCAGTTAACCCTTTTTGTAGGGGTCATTGTGCAATTAACGAAAGTTATTGCAAAATGCCTCATCTGGAGCCTGGATCCTCGTATGGGATTCATTTTCACTTTTTGCTGACTTGTAAATTCATAGAATTCCGTTCTGATCATTTTTCACCAGTTTCAGAGTTTCTGGACCTAGTTGCCGCCGAACTTGTTCGGGGCATATCTCTCTGTTCGGGATTCAGTTTTTGACGCCATTTCTTTCGTTACTCATATTTTCTCATTTTGAATCTTTTTTGTTCACGGTGTTTTTTCATTTGAGCATGTTTCTGAAATTTTCACTATTCAAGGCGTTTTGGGGCCTTTTTTCAATTTTGTAAAGTTTTGGGGTAAGTTCGTGATTATTGAAAAATTGGGAATTATAAATAGGACAAAAATTATAAAATTTTCTAATTTTCCAGAATGCTTCCTCTTCAGTCGTGGGTTCTCTTCCTTTCCCAAAATTTTTTTGCCTTCAAGCTTCCCTTCCATTTTCTGGCCGATCGGCTGGTCTTCCGGACTTGGTTCCTTGATGGAAAACGTTCCCCTGATCGCTCTCTACATCATACTCAAAGGCCTTAATTTTTGGAGGTATGTAGAATATTTTACGAATTTTTGAAGGTTTGAATCTAGGAAATTTAATGGGGGTTTTGAACCATTTGTAGCTGGATTCTGGAGTGGGTCCTTTAGGGCAGAATGATCTCCTTGGTGTCGGCCACATTTTCACCGAACAGTTTTCCATTCCGCCGCTATTGACCAGAGTTGACCGGTGTTGACCGGCGTTGACTTTCCGGCCGGCAATGCATTTGGAGGTAGGAGATGTTTATAGGCTTATGTGCTATGTGATTTATCATTTTTTATGTGTATACCATGTTTTTGTATGGAATTTAGAATTTTATTTAATTATTCATTAGTTAAAAATTAATTCACATGGTTGTATATGATGAAGAATTAATTAAGGACTTGATATTTGATTAATTCTTATCTTAATCTATATTATATATTAATTTGGGAACTTTTAGAGTTATTTTGAAATCTAGAGAATTATTTAAATTTTATGTAATTAAATTCTATTTAATTACTCCATAGATGTAATTAAGCTTTTGACTTGATATTAGTGATTATCATGAATTAATCTTTGTTATATATTAAATTTGGAACATTTTGATGAATGTTGAAATCTAGGGATTTAATTATTTATATTTAATTAAATTTTATTTTACTATTCATGGCTTAAATTAAAGTATTAATATGACATATGTAATGACCACAATGTGATCTTTGACGTGTATTAATTTGAAACCATTTGGAATTGAATTGAAATCTAGAGAATTTAATTATTTTTATTTAATTAAATTCTATATAATTGTTCTATGGATTTAATTATATTTTGGAAGTTGTTCCTAAGTTTAAATTATGGATTTGGACTTGTTGTGTATTCACATTGTTATAGTTTAAGCATTGAACTAGACTGTTGTTATGTTAGATTCATGAGTATAGTTTTCAACGTTGAAATATATTGTTATAACGTGTAACGAGTCGCACACTGAAGATTCGACATTTGTCCTGCCATAGTAGATGTAGA